TTATGCATAAATTTAAAATTATTTATCTCGTCTAATTTTATTCATATTGAATTTGTTCTCATATATTCTTTATGCCAAATAGGTATAACATGATGCACTCTAAATACAAAACCGTGACTAGACATATAGAGTTCTACAGAAATGAGCTTGATGACCTCACCAACAGGTAAATATAAAACTCAATTCATTATTCATATTTTAATTTTTCTGTAGATGTTGATAAAAGTTCTTTTAAAATTTCAATTCAAGTGGACGCCATATTCTTTGTCAGATCTTGATATGCATACCCTTGCACTAATCTGTAGAGATAGCGCTGTTTTATGGAGAGCCAAAGTCATGTTGATATGTTGAGAGATTATAGAGATGCATGTCCCAGATCGAGTGTTATGGTAATTTCTTCTTTCTCAGCATGTGTCAGATCTTATTCAGCAAATCGATCATAGGCAACGGATGCATCGCATCATACGGACTGGGTCATATTCTGTGCGGCCTACATAGACAGGTGGAATAATAGGTGGAATTTCATACAAAATGAGAGAATTTTAGCAGATGGTCATACTGCATATATGCGTTGGTATTAGAATATCACATGCAGAAGGATAGGACGCGACCCATAGCCAGCAGCTGAATGCATACCACGTCCATCAATAGATAGTTACATCCATAATGCCATGATCAAGAGTGATTATGTAAGTTTTTAAACTAAAATTAAAATGGAAATTCTTTTTTTTTGTCAATATATTATTTGCTAAGTTATGTATATATTGATTAAATCGCAGATCAATGCTTTTGATGAGGTTGGGGCTAGTATAAATGAGCATATTAGTGAGATCCAAGATCCGACAGTGTTAAGAATCTTCAATAAGATCAGATAGAGAATAGAAAATATACTCCATAAAAATCATGTCGACGAGTTTGAATGACGTGAGGACAGGTCACGCCAATTTGGTAAAGTGTACACGTCAAGACGTAGGACATGTCAAAGGGTGGCGTGTGACGACAGAGCCGGCATTGCAGCGCATGCTGATGGAGCCGGCACTTCTCAGCCTCATACACAATCGGATACTCAGATCATCGAGACTCATCAGCATAGATAGAGGGGGCGGGGATGGGGGGGTAAGAGAGGGAGAGGAAAGAGGGGAGGACTTTTAGGATGTATGTGAAATTTATAATATAATTATGAATTTCAAGAATGAATATGGTTAGATTGTTCAAATTTGTCGCTTTTGTGGATCGATTTTTATTTATATATGTGATTTCCGTGTGTATTGTTTTGATTCATGGCTGAATTTTATGAATATTATTGTAATTCAGTATATATGCTGCAAATTTGATGTTTATGGTTGGAGTTTCATCTATATTGTTGTGAATGAGGCAGAAATTTCATTATATACAACATGTTATGGATTATGAAATTTACAGGCACATTAGGTGAAACATGCACACATTCTGTGCATGTTTTAGGGAACCTGCAACTCCATGAGATTTCAAATCCCGTGAAGTTGCAGGCCTAATTGCCAGAGAGCCATCACTCTCTGGAGTTGGCGCTTGCAACTTCACGGGATATGAAGTCTCGTGAAGTTTCAACTTCACGAGATTTCAAATTCCGTGAAAATGTGAATTCCCACTTATCCCTACTAACCCATGCTTTAATTAGGCCTTAAACTTCACGAGATTTTAAATCTCGTGAAGTTTTTGATATTTTTTTCGCAATAGGTGGCTGAAACTAGGTTGAAAATTACGAATATTTTCAAAAGATATCGTTTTTTGAAATAAATTTAAATGAGTCTATTTTAAAAATTTATTCTTTTATTCTAATAAACAGATGTTGTCTGCATAATGCGAAAACTTATTGGAGAGTTTCAATAATTTTTAAAAATTACTAAGGGTTTAGTGGGATTTTGAAAGTTATCAGGTTTTTAATGGAATACGCTGAAAATTCTCAAGGTTCGGTTTGATTTTGAAAGTTATTAGGGGTTTGGTGAAAACGCTAAAAAGTCTTGGGGTTTAGTGTAATTTACCATATTTATAATTCTCTCAAGTCTTGGTACTATCATGAATTGACGTCTTGTTGCACTATCACTTTAGTTTTCTTAATTAACTTTGAGAAAGACCATCGATTAAATTTTTAAGCAGAAATGAGTCATTATCTTATTCTTATCAATATGTGATTAATATAATTGCCCTGCTTTGCAAGGTTCCTGTAGATGTCAACTTTGCCTGTCTGTCTTAGTTCTAGTCACGAAGAGGTTGCTTATTTCCTAATTTCCTTCATTGCAAGAGAAAGGGAATATACGAACACATATAAATGGATATTATATACATATATATTGGAATAGAAATTATTTCTTTTTCTTATTTTCTCTGTTTTATTTTCTTTTTTTAGAAAAATTATAACATAATAAAGTATTATTATTTTATTAGTGTTGGAATATAAAACTATAGCCTTCAACCCTCGTCATAATTTCAGAGTTTTTTATAATGGTTAGAAATTTTAATTAAAATAGTATTAGAGCAACTCATGTTAATTTTATTGGCCACAAATTAAATGTGGACTTTTAAGAATTAGATTGTTCTTGCAGACGTAAAATCACAATGAGTAGTCTAGCTCATGCATGGCTGCAACCAAAAGAAAAGATAATTTTATGAATGTCGGTATCTAAATTATAATTCGTTACTAGAAATGATAAGGTCATCAATGTTGCAAAGTAAAACAAACAAACTACAAAAAGAAATAGTGTTTTATTATATTTAATAAGATAACACAAACTATATTCCCATCGCTAAAATTGGAAAAAGTCACGCATGACCAAATTTGATCATCAAATCAAAACATTATATTACAAAAAAAGAGTCAACCATACATATATTTAATTAAGTATTTTATATTCACATTAACAACAAATGTGCCCACCTTAAACTAACATTCTCCAACATAAACCATCCACGTTACAATCACATGCACAGGAGCAACAAAAAAATATGGGTGTTTTAAGCTATATAAACCCCAAAATTATCTTATTTGCAGACTTATGTCCAAATCTGAATTTGGCAATTTATTCCAATCCTCTATGATTTGAGTTAAAATAAACCTTTTTAATACTATAAACTTTCAAACTCGATAAAATAACGAAAGTATCGAATTCTCACTGTAAAAGGAGAGTTTTTTTTTTAAAGCTTATACACCCTCTTTGAATTGGTCCTGTAACTTTAACCCCCTAATCCATACATTGCTTATTTATTCATACTAGTATAATGCACGTGATTTGTACGTGAGCATTTTTTAATAGTATATTATCAAATAAATTGTATACAAATATTTGATAAAGTTATTTTATTGCACTATTATTAAAAAATTATGTTATATATGTTATTAGTACTTATACTATTATTAACATACATTTAATATTTATTTAAATTTGCTTATTATTATGTTATTAAACAATGTATTTAAGAGTATAATTTTGAAATAATAATGTAATCATTAGTTTAATTAACACTGTTGAAATAATTAAATCATTCATATTATTAAATATTTATGTTATCTAGATATTTTATTACAACATTAATTAAACAATGGAAATAATTCTTTACATTATATGACTTTATGTTGTAAAGAATATTACCTTGTTCGATAATTAGCATCATCTTGGTAATAAAAAACTAGACGTTATAAATTAAAAATTCCTTTATTTAGGAAAAATGTTTTATATAAAAATATTAGATCTTAGAAATTTATGAGACATTTACTTTCCAACAAAAAGTACATGTCTCATAATATTCAAGGATCCAATATTTTTATATAAAGCAATTTTTCTAAATACAAGTATTTTTAATTTATAACGTCAATTTTTTATTACTAAGGTGATATTAAAAATTAATATATATAATGAATTTCATTATCATTATAAATTATTAATATATTCTAGTGAATGACCAAATATTTTAGAAAAAATAAAGAGAACAATATATGTCTCGTAAATTTCAAGGATCTAATATTTTTATATGAAGGAATTTTCCAAAATAAAAGTATTGTTAATTTATAACTTCCAAATTCTTATTAATAAGATGATATTAAGTATCAGACAATGTAATATTCGTTATAACATAAAGAATCAATCCCTATTTACACTATTATTAATAATTATAATTATGTATAGTTATTTTTTAAAGAAATTATTTACACTATTATTAATAATTATAATTATGTATAGTTATTTTTAAAGAAATAATTTTACTGCTTTATATAATTAATAATTTTTTATAGTAAATTATATAAATTTATGAATATTATTATCATTATAATTATTAATATATTCTAGTGAATGACCAAATATTTTGAGAAAATGAAGAGGTGCATAGTTAATGAGAGGTTATAGGTCATTAGTTTTATAAATAATAGTATAGTTGTGAGTTATAAAAAATTGAGAGGGTAAAAAAGAAAATCAAAAGTTTTGACATAGATATTTTTTTTATAAATAGTATAGATATAGATGAATTCCAACGTTGTTAGATGAGGATGATGAGAATTTGACATGGACTAATGTAAGGGTAAATTGGCAAATATGTAGATTTGAAGAAAAAAAAAAGAATATTTGCTAATTAAATGGATTGTGGACGGTAAAATAGACAAAAACTCCTACGAAAGTTTGGTAATTTGTTTCGGTTGGAAATAAAACTACCTACTCCACCCAGTTCGCCATCTACTATAACAGATGTTACTCGGTCCCATACGTCGTCAATGGGGCAAAAGGTGGGTGTATTTAATCCAGTGAGTATAAATGTAAAATTCTCGTTTACAGTTGCGCCTCCTCCTTTGTTGATGCCGCTTTCTGCTCACGGTGTCCTCCTCCGACGCAAAAAATTAAAAAAAAAATTGAAATTAAACAAAAAAGAAAATATGACCAAAATCGAGAAAATTTATATACAAAATATTTGATCCTGAGACCAATTCATAGATCAGATCAGCTGATTAGGCGGCGAGAGATATAAAGGTATGTGCAACTGAACGATATTTGCTTTGGTTGGTAGAGATTGAAGTTTTCAGATTTCTGTTATAAATCTTGAACGAAATTGTATTTTGATTCGAGCCCGTGTGTAATTTTGTGTGAAATTGACGAGATTGGTGTCAAAATTGGATCTTGATGTGCGGTCTCGTGGATTATGAAGAACTTTAGGGATTCTGTACGTATTGAGTTTTTGTTATTTGGGTGAATATTGATGTTTATATTGATCATGAATTACTTATATGGAATTTAATGTGAAATTTGAACAGTTATTTTTTGTGTAGAATCTCTTTGGCGCCTAATTTCCCCCCTTTTCTTTTGCTTCTCTTTAGAATTGGGGTTATTTAGTAACATATTTGTTTGCATAGTGGACTTGATGGTTAATAATGATGATAATAATAAGCTGAACTTTGTTTGAGTGATCAATTGGGATGTGTTCTTCTCAGGAAACAAGGAGTGATCTAGGTATTCAAGTCTGAACTATTTGTAAATTTGGCGAAGATTTCAAGTTTCAGGCTGGCTTTGGTAGTTTACAGCTCCTTTGAGTTCTTGGGTGTGTTCCAAAAGAAATGGATAGACTGTTGATTGCTTGATATGCAAATTCTCACACTCTTGTTGTTTTAAATAATTGAGGCATTAGGATTTGTAGGCTTTTCAATGGTAATTAGAAAGATTTATAATTCAATTCATGGAGGGCGAAATCCCTGGCTCATATGTACAGAGAACTCCACAAGTTCATGTCGTTTCTGGAAATTCTTCTTCTGAAAGGAATCTACATAACGTTTCAATTCGAACTGGTGAGGAGTTCTCTATGGAATTCCTTCAAGACCGAGTAACACCTAAAGAAGCACAAATCAGACCTGGATTCGATCCTGGTTATATGAATAGAGTCGGGTACAATGGTTATCCTAATTTTCAAGCAAGCTGTGAGGATGTTACAAGTGTTAATAATCTACGAAGATTGGATTCTGACTGCAGTTCTGATGTTTCCAATGTTTCGAGCTCTTCTTTTGCCAAAGGACTTAAAAGAAGCAACAGCAAGGAATGCCTTCATAGTATGGGCAGAAATCCCTCAACAAATGGGGATAAATTGACTGAAAATTCAGCAGAAGAGTCTTGTGGATCTTGTTATCAGCATCATACTCATGGGTGTGGAATCTCAGATAGTTCTAATTCCAGCAAGCTTAAGTTCATATGTAGCTTTGGCGGAAAAATCCTGCCAAGACCAGGTGATGGGAAACTGAGATATGTTGGAGGCGAGAAAAGGATTATCTCCATCTCGACTAGGCTTTCATTAAGAGAACTCATGCAGAAAACACTGAGTATTTGTAATCAACCTCACACAATCAAGTATCAACTTCCGGGAGAAGATCTTGATGCTTTAATATCCGTGTCTTCAGATGAGGATCTACAGCATATGATAGAAGAGTATTATGGGCTTCAAAAGGCAGATGGATCTCAAAGGATTCGAATATTCCTTGTCTCTCTAAATGATTCAGAGGGAAGCTCTCTAGATCCGATTATTCTACAAAATAACTCAGAATATCAATTCGTTGTTGCTGTAAATAATGTTCCAGATACAAATACGAGAAATGGATACCAGTTAGATGGTTCTTCAAGTTATCGCAGAGATTGTTCTTTTCCTCAGGGTGATATGATAGAGGGATTTGGTGCTCAAAATCAAACCGATATGCTCGCATATAATACTGGCTCTCAGTTCCCTTTTAATGCAAATCTAGGACAGAAAAAAGAGAGCAAACATTCTCGAAAGCAATCGTTTGAAGATCATATGGTACAAAATTATCATCAGGTGAGGGACTTGCCTTCACTTAATCAAATCGAAAGGGAATTGGGTGGAAATTTCTCTTATGAGAAGCCAATTATTCAGGACAGAGGTTTCCATTCCGAGATGATACGAAGGCAGCAGGAAGATTCATTAAGTTGGGTCTCTGGATCGAATGATTCATTTCATCCTCATCAAGGTATTCCTCATGCTTATTCTGATTCTTTGCTTCAAGAACAGGGAAAGGATGCCTCAATGGAGACAAGCACATCCCATTTAGACTTCACAACATCACGAAATATAGATTTCAGTAACCCACCAACCCTTCCCAATGAAATACAAGGTATTGAAACTAAAGTATCTCAGGTCAGTCCACAAGTCTCAGAATTTTCTCATCGTCCAGAATCTCATAGAAGAAGTGGTGATGTGAACTCTTCGATGGGTGTGAAGGAATCCATTCTGGCTCAGGATAAGAACCTTTATGCCAATAAGACTAATTTTGTTCCTGATACTGCCGATAAATATATATATATGAACCATCAGCCTGCTGATACTCGTGGTGGTCATTTATCTTCACTGGAGCTTGAAGCACTAGAAAGCTCTGTCTCTGCATCTCCATTCACTGCTCCCAATTCTAGCTCAACGACTTCGAAAGAGTACCCTTTTGGATGCCAATTGGATCAAAGCACGTCACAAATTCATAATGAAGGGAATATAGATTTGATGGCTTTCCCCCCAAGTAAGGGAGTTGATCAGAACAGGGCTAAGAATTTTTATGTAGTTGAAAATTCAATTGATCTAACATATACCCCATCTAGTGATCCTATTTCTTTCACTCCTGGAATTATGTCTCGGAACTTGAAAAATGGAAAAGAACAAGGAATCTCAAGTTCTATGAACTCGGATCCATTTTGCATAATCTATGACCCTCCTTCATTCGCAATGTTCCAAAATCCAGAAAAGGTTGAAGGTTCGAGGGGAGAAATTTCTCTCCTTGATCAGGATATATATACTTACACTAATTCAAACATTGGGGACCCACGCCATGAGAACTCTGAGTATGTAAGCAATACACATGATCGAATTCCAATTGAGGCAGAGATGATAGTAGAAGATGTAACGGATAATGTTCCTCCTGAAATCCCTGCTTCTGAGCTTATTATTCCTCATGTAATTGATGACCCAGATGAGGATGATGACCAAAAGCTCGACTCGGTTTGCGAGGTAATTTATACATTTTTATGGAATGTTTCTAACTTCTAAGTTTTCAAACCAGTTATCTTAGTGTATTGGTGTGATGTAGGATGGTGATGAAGGAGATACAGATGATTCTATAACAGATCCTGTAACTGCAGAAATAGAAGCTGGACTCTACGGCTTGCAGGTTAGAAGTTATTATGTAATGCTTAAGTTTGATTTCCTGGCTAAGATTTAAAGTTTGTGATGTAACAGAAAGCTGGTAACATTAGGTCTAGTTGAAATTATGCCAATTGTGCCTACTATACATGTTGATCATTATTTTGTACCTTTTCTACAATTTCTGCAGCTATATAGTTGAGTCTTGATTGTTGAGAAGATACATGGAAAAGGCCTAATTGTTACAGATGTATTAAAATATTTTCCCTTAAATGAAATATGAGAACATACTAAAGTAAAATTGTGCTTATTAAAAAACCCTGTCACTACACCAAAACTCCGAGGTTGTGGTTAGGGTTGAGGGCTATAGTTTTATATTCTGACATGTCCATCCACACAGGCTAAGTACCCTTTCTATGGGGCGGAATCTTGATTCCGCAATTGTGCTTGTTAAAGAACCCTGCCACTACACTGAAACTCCAAAGTTGTGGTGAGGGTCGAGGGTTATAGTTTTATATTCTAACATGATGTAGGCTAAGCACCTTTTTTATGGGCCAAAATCTAGATTCTGCAACAATATCAATTATTTTTAAACCCGCCTTAAACTTGTGGCTTGTGGGAATTGAACCTCAGATGTTTTGATCCCATGTTAAATAACCTTGCCACTACACCAAGACCCCAAAGTTGTGTTGAGAGTTATAGTTAAACATTTTAACAGTGCTAATCAATTTAAAAGAGGGATGGCCTGATCAAGCTCACCTCTGTCTACAAATAGTTACTGAACTGATTGGCTAGTTGATCAAGCAAAACTGGCCGACAGGTATCTTCTATCACCATCACTAGGCTAGAGTCTCGTGTAATCTAGTCATTCACATTTGACATAGCTGAGGAGATTAAACCTTATAGAATGTAAACGGAATTTTGTAGGGTGAATACACGAATTTCCTTATGCTGAAAATCCGATTTAACTCTGATATCTCCTTCATATTTTAAAATATAATAAGATTCCAGTGTGGTGAGACAGGGTGTTAATTCTCTGGTCTTTCCAAAGAAGTACAAAAATCCCAAGCTAACGGCTTCCAAATAGAGGGAGCAATATAGAATTTTTCTCTTGGACTTGAGTCGGTCTCTTGATAAAATGGAAACATGTAAAAAGAATGTTTTAGGATTTATGTGATATATTACATATTTTGCAGTAGCTATTTTCTATCTTGATTGTACTATGAAGATTGTAATTTAATAGAAAGGTAGCACCAGCTGACCCCTGGCTGAATAGTCACATGTGCATTCTCATATTTTCCCCCTAACGGCTCTTGAAACCATGTTGACTAAATATATCCTAATATCATAGGTTTTTCGATTCGTTGATACTTGAATTCTAGTAATAAGTTTCCAATGATGTATATCCTCTTCTTCCTTGTCTGCATATAAGACATTTGTCATTTTCATCTCTACTATTTTTGCTGAAACTGAATGTTAAAATTATTATGAACAGATCATTAAGAATGCAGACCTTGAAGAGTTACGGGAATTAGGTGCTGGCACGTTTGGAACTGTTTATTATGGAAAGTGGCGGGGAACGGACGTTGCAATTAAGCGTATCAAGAAAAGTTGCTTTGCAGGAAGGACGTCTGAGCAAGAGAGATTGGTGCGTCAACAGCTCAGTTATCAATGATTTCACCATATTTTGATTACTTATCTCTATTTACTTCAAAGTTATGCTTCAATAATCTATGCTGCTAATTTCACATTGCCTCTTGAAAGTTTAAAAAGTTACCAAAGCAAGAATTACTTCTTCGCGTGGAACATACAGAATATTGTTCTCTTCTTCATCGTTTTTTAGCATTCATAACTCTCTATGGAGGCACTTTGATAGTCTTTCTCAACTTCTAATCAAGTTTAGTAAAGATTGGGCTCTTTTGTTCTTATGCAAAGTCCAAGGCAACTTTTGACAATAAAGACCCAGAAGAAAGCAGAGAACTCAGAAATTAGAATGTTAAGCAAAGTGGATAATTTTAGTTTTTATGCCTATTTAAATAGCTGTTGCTTACTAAATATTATATCTAGCTGCACCTCTGTATTCTACTTATATTCAGTCTAGAACTTCAGAGTTTCTTTGGCAGGATCATAGACTCTTGGAGTAGATAGCTACAAGCATGCATGGGAACCACACAAATAATAATCCAATGAGAAGAATATTGAGTGATTTGGTGGATTTGAAAACTTAGCTAGCAATCTGAATTATTTGATCAGTTAGAACCTATTCAGCAACCTAAACGAGCAAATATCTCAAACAATAAAGGTTTAGAAATACCTGCAATATACCGACAAACTTTCATGAATTTTTTTGGTTCCTTTTTTAAGAGAGAGAATTGAGCCTAAAATCCACATTCCTGTAGGTTATATAGCGACAGGAAAAAAAAATTCCCTTTTTAACACAAAACTTACTTCACATATTGAAGCAATCAGCCTTCAATACTCTTGTACTAGATTAAGTCTCACATGTGATTGTAGCTTTAATTTCAATTATCATTACCAAGATTTGTATGCTTTAATAGTATAAATATAAATATGAACTTTAGATGTAAAATTAGATGGTAATTTAACTTTTTATGCAGACGAAAGATTTTTGGAGGGAGGCACAGATCCTCTCAAAACTTCACCATCCAAATGTGGTTGCCTTCTATGGTGTTGTTCCTGATGGCACAGGAGGAACACTGGCAACTGTAACAGAATTCATGGTGAATGGATCACTGAGGCATGTCCTACTCAAAAAGGAACGGTGAGCCACCCATAGTTACTCTTGGAGTAGTATTATTGTTATAGGAATACTTTGCATATAACTACCTAATCCTCCCCCCCCCACCCCTCCACAAAAAAAAAGAAAGAAAAAACCCCACTATAACTGGAGTTGCATTAACCCCCCCCCCCCCCTTAAACTCATTTACGAGCACATAGCACTTTGAAATGGCATTTTTAGAAAGATAAATTGCTAGTAACCCCTCTTTCTCATGAATTGATAGGAGCTAAGTGCTAATAAATGAGTTGAGGGAGTTTTGTGCTCCTCGAGTTACAGATTAGGGTGTTGTGTGTGACAGCGCTTTTTTTGGGGTTGGGGGGGGGGGGGAGTATTATGTGCATTTTTCTGTCGTTATAATTTCAGCAGGAGTATGCTTAAAGAGTATTTTATTGCAGGATTCTTGATCGTCGTAAAAGGCTTATAATTGCCATGGATGCAGCCTTTGGAATGGAGTACTTGCATTCAAAGAATATTGTTCATTTCGATCTGAAATGCGACAACTTATTAGTAAATTTGAGAGACTCACATAGACCAATATGCAAGGTGTGTTTGCATGAAACTTTATATGTTATTCTTGTTTTCATTGGCAATGTAAGACTTTTGAAAGGATTTGAATGCAATTTCTTGTTCCATATGCTTCTATTCTGAAACCCAATGCTAACTTTAGATACACAAAAATGGAATGTATCTTATAGGGTGAAACCAGTACTGAGCTCTGGAATATATGAAACACATTGCATCTTCAAATATGCTAAGGATGACAATTTTTGGATCCTTTTCTCATTTTAGATCAAGCATTGATGGAATGTGATTTAGATGATTCTACTTTGCAGCATAGATACTCTTAAAAGAAATAACTGATGTTAGATCTCTGATATTGGAATGTGATTAGAAGAATATAGCCTCCATTATGGATTCTTCAAACAAAGATTGATCTCATTCTCCACCTATGGTAGGTGATTTTTGTTAAAAGTTCTACAATTTTAAGCTCCAAAAGATTGGGACGAAGCTCAGACATCTGATTTATGTTACCAATTGCTGACATCTTGCTTAATTATGGTCGCCCATTGAGCTTTGTAATTTAATTTTTATTACTTATTTTCTGATTTTTAGCAACTTCTGTGGAATTCGGTTTTCAGGTTGGAGACTTTGGGTTGTCAAGAATTAAACGCAATACCTTGGTTTCTGGTGGTGTACGAGGAACTCTTCCTTGGATGGCACCAGAACTACTGAATGGTAGTAGTAATCGGGTTTCTGAGAAGGTAGTATTATCCATCTATTTTGTTATAGCGTTAATTGCGCATAGACCCTTTTAGTGTCGTTCTTTTGAACTTACCACCCTTGTAGTTATATTTTGGATTTTTACATCAAAACCACATTTACTTTTACCCTAATTGATATTTACCCCTTTAAATTTTTTTCATGTAGACCATCTTTACTTGCTAACATATTTGCAATGTCACACATAATCTAGTTTTCAGCCAAAAAATATGCGAAATGACCATTTTATCATCACCATTTTCTTGTTTTTCATCTTCTTCCTCACAAACCCTAACCCTAGCCTTCTCATCCTCCACTTCTCCCCCTCTTGCCTCTCCTTCCTCCTCCAACTCCCCTTCCCCTCTCTCTCGTCCTCCCTCTTCCTCCTTGACCTCCCACTCTCACATTCCTTTCCAAGTGGGAACTAGGATTATGGTTAGGGTTTAGGGGAGGTGACAGCCATGGGTTAGGGTTAAGGTTTGTAGAAGAGGGGGATGGAGGAGGCTAGGTTAGGGTTAGGGTTAGGGGTTGGAAGGAAGAAGATGGAGTGAAATGATAATATCTGATTTTTCATGAGTGAACAGTAAAAAAAAGTGTGACATTGCAAACATGTTAGTAAGTAAATGTAGTTTACATCAAAAAAAACTTTAAAGGTGATAAGTATCAATTTGGATAAAAATAAATATGGATTTGATGTAAAAACCATTTTATTTTTGCTGGTAGATCCCATGGGTGAAATTTTTTGACTTTTTTATCCTCAGACTCACTAATTTCACCCAGGTGCAATATCTGCTAAATTTTACCAAGGATAAAAGAGTTAAAAAAAAAGTTTTAAAGTACGCGCTACTACAAGAGGGTCTACGGTGCAATTAACCCCTTATTATATATAAGCTATTTAGAAGGAGTTAATACATTAACAAGATTCTTGTAGGTTGATGTCTTCTCTTTTGGAATTGCAATGTGGGAAATCCTAACTGGTGAAGAACCTTATGCAAATATGCACTGTGGTGCAATTATAGGTAAATCAATTTGTAGACTCAATAGCAGCATATAAAGGAATGATTATCTATTTCCTAATTTAGAAAAAAATTATTATTATATTACTGGGTAAATGCATTTTATGTTGAGTTCAACATGCATACACAGTTTAATGCAAAAACTCTTTCAAATTAAATGCAAGGTATATCAAACTTTATTATATTATTGGGTAAATGCATCTTATGTTAAGTTCAACATGCATGCAGTTTATGCAAAAACTCTTTCAAGGTATTATTCTTTCTTATTGCATATGCTGCTAAATTACATTTTTTTAATATATCACTAGTTTGTGTGCTTATACGATATCCATGATGATTTTTTTTATTTTGCTATCATCTCTTCATTTATATGGCATTCCAGTTAGAGGACTATGGTGATTTATTGTTGTGTTTTATCCGAATGGGCTTTCTTTTTCTTTATGAATTAATTGTCTGAATAATACTTATCTTGTGAAGGAGGAATCTTGAACAACACTCTTCGTCCTAAGATCCCTGATAGTTGTGACCCAGATTATAAGAAGCTAATGGAGCAGTGTTGGTCACCTGAGCCTTCAGCTCGCCCTTCCTTCACTGAAATTACTAGCAGACTTCGTGCTATTTCGGCAACACTCCAGTCAAAGGGAACTACAAACAGATAAAAGCAACATCGAGTGTGTTTGAGAGTAGTAGCTTTAAAGAGTTTTGCATTCTTCTCCTCTTGTCCTCTGGTATAAATATATATTTGTTCTCTATTCTTTTGTTCCCAGATGTTGAGGATTTTCTCCGGCATGTACATTAATGTGTCCTACCAATTCAGACTGGCACGGTTGATATGTAAACATTTCCGCTTTTGTGCAGAGTACTTTCATATCATCATTGAGAAGAAGATAGTAAATCTATAGCATATGCAATCGAAAGTGATCGATGTATATATTATTATAAGAGCTGTATTCTAGATGAACGTGTTCAAATTTGGGATTTTTAAGAAGATCATAAAATTTGATTTGGACAGATTTTACTTGATCAAGAAGTTTGGATTGAACAAGGACGTTCAGGATTCAGGTTCAGACTTCAGAGTAGAAATTTTGTACTGAAATTTGCATCAGACGTAAAAACATAGAAAAAGACATACCAACTATTTTTGGATTCTGATAATAGTGACAAAAGCATAGAAAAGACACGTACCAGATGAAATATGTGAATGTTTCAATATTGTTAGCAGTGAAAAATTAGCAGATAGCAGCATAGTTAAATAACTAGCCTCTAACAAGGCGCGCGCACACAAAACTCTTTAAAATGTAATAACACTGGGAAATAAAAAGAAACTGTTGAAGAGCCAGATAACATAAATTGGTAGGAAACATTCAGCACAGTGCACAATAAATATAAGATTAGACCGTTAAGAAATCCGAAACCATTCACACTAACACTTTATTACTTACTATTCAGTACACAAAATTACTTCGATGTGAGCTTCCTCTTGTAGAAAAAGGATCTCTCTTATTTCATAAGGATTCTCTGAGGAGATCAACTCAGTAAGCTACATCGACTCATAAAAGCCTGCTTGAGTACGAAAACCTTGTCATGCTCAAAGGCTGATTCACATAAAAGTTCTAATAAGTCTAGCAACTATCAGTTTCTATTATACTGTCTGCAGTTTGTTTGCCTTCATCAGCTTGATGAATTCTCCAAAAGCTGCAAGCAAAGTTTTTTAAAAAAATATTAAACATTGGCCAGATACTATCCATAGTACGAAGCAAGTGTGAATTCATGCCAAATTTTTACATTCATAGAAATCAAATATTTATACGCTTCAATATTTTTTTAGTCAAAATATATCAGCGAGATAAAGCTATCGGAAAACAACTTCATGTTAATTTTTAAGAGGTGAAATTACCACACATTATTAGTGATAATATTTAGAGGCCCAGCATAATTTTCAATAGAATCCTGACGACAAAATGCTACTTCAGCATTCTTTCCTACGTTGAAGCAAATTATCATGATAGTAAGCGCACATTAATGATGCAAAATAAGGCAAACATACAACAGGATAGTATGATGAAACATAATATATCCTTTGTTGAAATCCAATCTTGCAGTCAGGTACATAGTATGGGTATCTATTTATTAGAAGAACCTTTGGCACCTTCCAAGTTACACTGATGGTGGCACGAAATTTAAAACTTATCTACGGCGTAAGAATCAGAAAATCATGAATTAGAGCAATATTGTTCTTATGAGATTCGAATGGTACCACAAATTGTCATTCTATCTCTTCTCTTCCAACAGTTGAACAATCACTAAATGCATCTTATTTTGACAAAATCAAGTACTATGACCTGATAAGCCATCTTCATGCATAGAACAGAAAATTTTACTTGCACTAAGTCACCAAAATCGAATTTCAGATTTCTAAAGAACAATTATTTGTCTATCTCGCTAGTATGGTTGGAACTGTGATAATGTAAATCAGCCATATAGTTTTCACCAGACTGCCATCAACTAAAGTATGCATCTTTATATTAATTTTTGATAGAAAAATAGTTGCTATGCTCGGATTAACTATTTGAAAATTTACTCCAAACCAGTTAAATGGCAGATATACCCCCACAAAACTTCTGTCAACTTTCTATGTTAACATATCAGTTCTCTTCATGTAGCCTCAACGGTGTCTAATCTTAACTTAAGATGAATATCTTATAAGCTGTGTATGTATATAAGCTGCTGACGACTTATAAACAAAGTTCATATCAGGAGAAAAAGTGAAATAATGAGTGTGAAGATACCAGGATCAGAGTCATGGGGTCCAGGAGAGGATTCTGGGTGATACTGCAAAGAAATGAGATTTAACTTGGGGCAGGCAAGACCAGCACAGCTATTGTCATTTAAGTTTACATGAGTTACTTCAACATCAGGTGGAAGAGTTGCAGGATCCACAGCATAGTTATGGTTCTGTAGGATGAAAGATCAAAAACTGCGGTTAGAAGAAAAATTTCACAACAAAAAGTGGGTACTACAAGGAAGTCTGACACTACCAGGTGAAACATAAAAATTATAGACGGTGGAAACTTCAGAACAAAGAAGTCACCCCCTAGTAAATGTGGTAAGTTGAAACTGTAAATAATGTAAAAATTTAAGAAGCAACAATATTGTGTTTCGTCAAAGATAGTATATGAGCATACACGTGAAAATGATAAAATAAAAACATCAGAAGTGGAGCTTATAAAACCATATATGCTGACTGTCTTCAACAAAGACGGGCGGGGGTTGATGAGTTGGGTGAAGGAGTTCTGAGCATCTTAAAGTAAAATATACATACACACATGCGTATACATATAAACAGGCATAAGAAGGGCCAATATGAAAAAGATGATAGTTTCAGCATTTGAGCAATAAATAAAAGGGTTGCCCACTTAAGATTCTCTCATAGGTACCCGTACAGTATCAAATGCGATCAGATATTGCATCATTCATGAGCTCATACTGATTGTCGATAATTGAGATGTACTTGCATCATGGCATAATATTAGGTACTTTTACTTGTCATTGTGAAATCCCTCCTCATAGAATAAAATATCCTGCTACATTCCGAGTTACAATTCTTTCACTCCTACCTTAATTTCCCTTCTTATGATTGTAGTTTTACTTGATTTTTCATTGAATATTAACTTGACCAAAAAAACTGACTAATAAACACCTAATCGAGAATAGTGTAAATCACCAAGAACAATATTTCAATAGACCTAAAACCCAAAAACACCTGCACGGCAAATAGGCCAGACTAAAAGCTGAAAGCAAGTTTAAATTTTAAACATAAAAATAATTTTCAACTCAGCTCTAATTCTTTAAGGAAAAGGAGACACAGTAGACTAGAATAGCATCAGAACCTGAGCACTAATCTCGACACGCCCATTCCGGAGATTATGAACAGGATGGTTTCCTCCATGATGCCCAAACTTCATTTTAAATGTCTTGCCCCCCAATGCTTGCCCAAGCAACTGATGACCCATGCAAATTCCAAAAACTGGGACTTTACCAATTATATCCTTTACTGTTTGTACAGCATAAGGGACTGCTGCAGGGTCTCCAGGGCCATTGCTAAATAGAATTCCATCAGGTTTCATCTTGAGTGTTTCTGCAGCAGGCCATGTTGATGGCACAACCGTGATTTTGCATCCGTAAGATGCCAGGCGCCTTAAGATATTATGTTTGATACCGAAATCATAGGCAACAACCTATAAGAGAGAAACACGAACGATAATTAATAAATAAACAACATAAATATCAAGAAGTTTCTCAAATGACAGACTACTGACATGAAAAGTTTCCCCGTGGTTCTGACCATTGCTGAACTCCCATTCTGAGCCTGTGTTCCCAGTCCATTTGTATGGAGCAGTGCATGAGACGCCACTAATCAAATCCACACCTGAAATATAAATTTTTTCCCCTCTAAGATTATTGATGTATAGTCCACATGAAGGTCTAAGGTAGCTGAAGCACACATAGCTAAGTGCAAGTCAAAGCACATGAGAAAATTTAAGGAAGCCAATTATGTAGAAAACATGAAACTCTTACTGAAGTGTGAATGAGACAAATGAATATAAACACAATAAATATTAGGGTTTTTATAATATAAGACCCCCAAATCTTCTCTATTTCTACATTAGGCCCCAAATCCTAGTATTTTTAAATAAGACCCCCAAATCCTTTAAGTTGTTAAAAAAAGACCCCCAAATCCTTTAAGTTGTTAAAAAAAGACCCTTCGGTTAGATTTAACATCAATTTGCTACATTTCTCTATTAATGTTAGAGATGTTTATCTATGGACCATTATGCTCATGCTTATACAAGATTTTTAGCACATCTAAATTGGTATTGTTCTTCTTCCGGCACTCATTTTTCTCTCTCAAACTCTTCACATCCATTGTCCCTCTCCCATCTTTCTCCTTCAATAACTTTCTTTTCTCTCTCAAACTCCTCATATCCATTGTCTCTCACTTTTCTCCTACAATCTAATTTCTTCCTCCTCAAATTTTATACCCCCCCCCCCAATCTATGAGAATTGGATTCTTAAAGATTTGAGATGAAAATAGAGAGAAATCAGCGAAAACAGAGAAGAAAGGCATAAGAATTGAGTAACAATGGTAAAGGGTTGGGTTTGGCTCCAAAGGATTATTATTGTAATTCTCTTTATATGGTTAAGCCTTAACCATGCTTAGGTAAATAATTTGTATGGAAATTGTTCATGAGTTTTTTTTGGGGGGGGTGGGGGGTGGGTGGGAGTGGGGGTGGGGGGGGGGTCTTACTAGAAATATCAAGATTTGAGGTTCTAATATAGATATAGAAGATCGGGTCTTATAACCCTAAATATTAAGAATAAAGAATGCATCATAATATGTCAACAATATGACACCTACCAACAATTTTCCATTTACGCGCCATTTCTAATAGTTCTTCATCTGTTTGAGATTTTTCAGTGCTCAAGACACCAATAAGGCTCCCATCTTGCCTTAATCTCCGTGTTATAGCACGCGTATCCACGTCATCTACTCAAAATAAATACAAAAACAAGTTGCTTATCGATATGACCAAAAAGGGTGAAGCAGTAACAATCTGTCACTTACATATGCCCATGATGTTCCTTTTAGCCAAGTAATCACCAAGAGCTTCTGTGCACCGCCAGTTTGAAGTGCTGAAGGAGATGTTATTCAAGGAAATGGCAGTGAATAAAGAGAAGAAAAGAAAAATTTAAGCATCTAATAACTATTTTACTCATTATCTAAATCCTACCAGATACTTAGGCTTCTGATCACCAGGCCAGCTAGGAAGCATTGATTGGACTCTTCATCATCTACAAGGATGTGATTCAAGCAAATTAGTTGTTAATATAAGCAATACAGAAAATTTTAGCAAACCTTTTTCAACAAAATATGACTTATATACCAATATTTACACCCGTGTTCCCGATGTGAGGGTTTGTCATTAAGACAAATTGACCGGCATAGCTGGGGTCCGTTAAAATTTCTTGATACCTACATTAAAATATTCATATACAACACTGAAGAAAATTTCTCACAATATGAAGAAAACAAAAATCAGATAGTTCAGTACCCAGTCAAAGATGTGTTGAACACCACTTCACCGACTTGTGTTCCGGAAGCACCAAATGATTTGGCCCTCCATATGGAACCATCTTCAAGAACAAGTCTAGCATCTGATGTTTTCCATGGCCTATCTGCTAAATCTCAAAGTAGGAAAAACCAAATCAGGATATCATTAAGGTCATGAACAATATAATGCATCTTTAAATTCTCTAGAAAGAAAAATGCACGACTTGATGATTTTCGCAAAGTTAGGCACACTAGTCAAGCAGAGGATACGACCTGTATTCCCGGGGAAGAACATAAACAAAAATAATTCTTATTTCAACTCTTAAAGTGTGAGTCTTGAATATGTCATCCTTCAATTACAGAATCTCGACTACCAAACAAAACAGATAACATTTGAATAGGATAACGATCAGCATTGCTCCTTCTTCGATGGAATACAATATTCTTGTTAACAGCTATAGTCACATGCTCTTTTAAACCCAGATAGTACTTAATATAACCAATAAACTTGATAAGTTTATATAAGTTCTGGTAACAGATATATGAAACATTTTAAGAAAATTTACAAATAAACTACTACTCCAGCTTCGAATCATTCACAGCATACCATTTGAATCATTATCTGCAACTGCCGTGCTCCAGTAGAGCAACTAGCTAATCGAATGCTACAATCCAAGTTATTGAGATCGAGCAACATGGGCATCCAAAAGATTGAAACTTTAGTAAGAAAAAAGTACTGCTTCTTAGAGAAAAGATTAAACTATGATTACCTGGGTTTTAAATGCAGAAGTTCTAGGGAAAACGATGGACCTAGAGTTGAGGGCAAAGCTCGGTAAGGTTGAAGGGGAAGCGCATTCCTTTGATGAGGGTATTAGGATTTTTGAAGGGTTTAACTGCAAAGTCGCAGCCATTGAGAGAGGAGAGGAAGAAGAAGCACACGCTGTTACTCACAGTCCAATCCAGAGAGCAGAGAGGGGGAGAGAGGGCGAGAGCGAGCGAGAGGAGGAGATTTTTAGGGCTTCGGTTTTGTTAAGACTTCTGGTTCAATTTAAACCACAGATGAGCGCAGCCCAAAGCGGAGTTGAAGAACATCCCAGTTACGGCCCAACTGTTCATGTATAGTCTTTGTGTGTGTGTGTGTATACACAGCCCAGTTGAATAACACCCCAATTACGGCCCAACTGTCCATCTATACTCATTATAGATAATACGAATAAAAAATTATATTCCTAAGGTAGTTTTGCCAATAAGTATTTTTAATTAATTTCCTTACCGAAATTCATTTCTCAATTTTAGTTTGATAGTTTTTTCTCACTGGTGTCTCTAACTTTAATGTCATAATTATTTATTTTCTTTGATGTTTATTTGAATGAGCTACACCCAATTTAAATTTTTATGTTATAATTGAATAGATACGAAACAAATATAATCTAAAGTCAATTTAAATTTCATGTTATTTGAATTATCATGAAACTAAGCTTGACTTGAGAAAGTATAGTGTTGCAAGAGTGAAAAATAGTTGAAAATAGCATTATTAAATAAAGATGAACAATTAAAACCAACAAGACAATATGATTTATTAAAAGCGGGCTATATGACACAAAAGAGAGTATAGAGTTTATCCCTAATCATTGATAGACTCCATAAAAATTTATAAGCTAAAAATTAATGTTAACTCGAGTACATTTTTATATGATAAAAGTATCCACATAAGCATATACAAGTACTAAAAAAGTTTTTGAAAATCCTTCTAAAGATTTCTGATTTTACTCAAAAAATAAATTATTCTATAAAATATTCAGAAAACATTGTCTTTTATTCCTTCTGTTTTTTTTTTTTTTTATTGAGCCGAAAACAATCATTCTTCACCTTTACATTTTTCCTATGTAATTACAGAGTAGTGTCTTTATTGTTGACATCTATTGTGATATCAGGCTAAAGCTAAAATGTCTTATGCTATTATCTTTCCTGGGTCTCGCTTATCTTTTATCTTCTCGTCTAACTTCACAAAAAAGTTAAATTTATTTTCAATGATCAACACAAACTTCTAGAAATATATACTTTGATTTTTTTTTTCAACAAATGTTAATTTCATATATGTGATACTTTTTTATGTTTTTAATTTATTACTTAAATAAGGCTAGGAGTTACCTCTTTTTCTATGTAATGTAATTTTCTGTTGTGCATCTAATAAGAGTTTCTATTGCATTAATAATATTATCTTGGAGAGATCATAGATCTCATAGTACCTCTCGAGCTCCTGGATGCAGATCTTTGAGCGAATTGGCCAAAGAAGAGCGATTTTCTCCTCATTGCGACCAGCGGTGGAAGTCTGAGCAACCATGGAAGATGGTTAAGGAGATTTGGGGAAGTTAAGAGAGACAAGCGCCGAAAAACTAGAGCAAGAGTTTATGAAGAAAAGCCCTCTTCGCTTCCAATGAGATATTTATAACACCCGAGAGGGACACGTAGAATAATATGGACGGTCGGCTCGTTTCAAAATGAATGGACAAGATACACCTCAAAATCCCAAACGGTTCACACAAAACTCGAAGCACCACCCTCTTTCCTCCATGCCTCTTTGCTCAAAAATCAAAGCGATAACAACTCTCTGGCTTCTGATGATGTCATCACGTCATTTCAAACAGTGATGTTTCATCTGCCTAATAAAAGCTTCTGGAAACTCACTAAGCGTATATTCGATGAACAGTCGGCCAAACCTAGTTTGACCCTTCAAAACTCGCCCCATGGAGTTCAAACACCAATTAGCAAGGGTCGTTGACTCGACTAACTCCAAACCAAGACAAAAAAAATAACAGAAATAACTGCTCGAGTTTGAGACATATCTTCTTAATGAAGAACGAGCCCCCTCGAGTCAGCAATTAAGTTCAAGTCTATGATAGAGTTAATTCATCCAGAAGATATAAATTGAGATTGCACAGCACAAGAAAAGTAATTCTGACTCAAAAATCTCTCTTTATTCATTTATAAAGAGTATCTACAAGGTGCATATGCACATATACACAACTCAAAAGCGAAAGACAGGAAATTCCTAGGAGACTAATAGATGTTCATTCCCACTCCTGGAGTCAAAGGCAAGGAGCCATTGGGAGCAGTCGGCAGAGGAGTCGAGCAGTCTCCTCCTTCGTCTGACTCCCCCTCTTCCTCGCCAAGATCAAGTCCCCCTCCAAGTGCTTCCACCTCCAACAACTATGGGTGCTAAACCGTATCCGTATCCGAGAAAATATTCGTAACTGTATCCGTTAGAATACGAATATGGTTACTCAAATCTATAACCGATAGGATATTGTAGACGGTAAAAAATACCTCTGATGACCTATGGGAAATCCGCCTACAAGAAATCACCGGCCTGAGCCGCATGGTCGTCAAATGTACTCGGTTCCAGATTCGCCTGAATGATCGGCTCGCCTGCACGAGTTGAGATCAATTGGAATAGCGGAAATTCGCCTTTCACGCGACTCGCCTGCCCGAGTCCAAAGTTGAATCCGCCTGCAAACCTCCAGGCCGTCAGTACAGCTGGATATCCGCTACCCCACGTACGGAGATAGGCTTTCCCACCTCTCTCGACCTGAAGGGAGAGGGCACAGTACTCCAAGACCGCCAGGCGGCCGCTCACAGTACTCGTAGTGCGAAGGACTAGACGGGTGTCGAGTCGACCTGAGCATTCATAAATGCAACTCACATCGACTATCTGAGTCAAGAGATGAATCTGCCAGCATTCGGCGAGCTGTATAAATCCACTCGAGTGCCAGGGACATGCTTTCCCGCCTCTCTTGGCCTGAAGAGAGAAGACACGGTACTCCAGGCCCGCCGAATAGCCGCCTACAGTACGAGTGAGCAGACAGGTGTCAAAACAGCCTGCACCCTCATAAATGCGGCTCACCTCAGTTGTCCAAGCAAGAGGACGTAAGATCCACGCAAGCATCTGACAGCCGTTGTCACGCATACGAGGAGGGGTTTTCCCACTCTTACGAAACGTGATGCAGAGCACAACTCTTCGAATGACCGTTGGCGGTACGAATGAACAGCAGGACGTCTCCGAACAACGTATGGTCACATCCCATAATTCAAGGAGCGGTCAAGCTGTCCTTCTTCCATTTAAAAAGCCCCTTCCAGCAAGTTTTAGAGGAGGTCGAAAAACTTGGAGAAAAATAGTTGAGACCAAGCTGTTAGCAGATCCTTGCATTACAGCACCAGCACCACTGCCTAGTTCTGAGCTCCGATCGCCGGCGAACTAAGCAGACCCGAACTCCATCGATTCGAGCTTCTACTGCGAACTGAAGCTCTCCAGCAACTTCGATCGAACGGTCCAAGGGAAGCAGACTCGACACGAGCATCGAGCGAAGCGTCCTATAGCCACCTAAAGTCCCCACACAAAACAAAGAGGGCATTCCCTCTGCTTCTGTTGTAAACATTTGATTATTAGGTTGTAATAAGCTTTCTTATCAATACAAACGAAACTCCCTGTTTTCGGGAAATCAAATTTACACCCCACAGAAGATGGCAACCACAGTGGGAGGATCTGTTTCATCGAACGAAATGGTGGTGGCTCAATTTGATGAAGTTACTGTCGGGACGACTGTAGAGTCCCTGGAGATTGAGTTCGACCAGGCCAAGTACGAAGAGTACTTGTCTTCCTCATCCTCTGGTGGCGATGCGTCCCGCAAATGCCACAGAGTCGTGCGCCTAAGCCGACCTCAGAAGGTCAAAGCTTCCGCGTCTGAAGGTTCCACCCGAGTCCCGTCGGAGGAGCCCACTTCCTCGCAATCGATCAAGGCCAAGCCAGAGATCGAGCGCAAGAGACAAGGGTCTGCCAAATGGATCACCAAGTAGCCAACAGCGACGGCAAACGCTCGTCAGACAGGAGGTCCAAACCTCTGTTTCTCACAATGGCCTGAACCATCATACATGCCCGAGAAACGCTAGACGAGAAGGCAAAATGCCCGACGTCGAAAGGCCCTCCAAATCAGGAGCGCCGACCGAGGACGGCAGAGCCATCCGCTCAGGAGGACTTCGCTTCTCAGGTCACATCCCTGATGCGAATAAACCACACCGAGCGAACGAGCCTACCCGAGTAGGCGAATCCTCGAAGGCTGGCGAGCCTCGCCATAACCATTTGGCGGATAAACGTAAAGGCAGAGAGGTAGGCGACTCTTTGCAAACCCGCTCGTCCAAACGAAGGGTTGAAACCCGCCTACGTACTGGAGTTCGCCCAAACGCGAAGACTCGCCAGTCAAGACGGGATCGCCCAACTCCAGCACCAAAGCATTCCACCCAACGCGCACCGGGGAACACGTCCAAAAATCTCTCGTGCACCCACCCGAGCGACTCTTCTAAAGCTGGGGATTGTCACCAACCGCCCACAGAAGACCTTAGGGAATACTTAACTCGCAAATGCACTATACAGGAGGCGAATCCTCAGTGCCACTGCGAGAGACTCATCCACACGGTCCTCGCCGACTGCCAATGCGTCGGAACGGCGAAACCCTCGGTGTTCAAGAGGCTGTCTCAACAGTCCTCTCAACCAAGGCCCTCCCGTCAAAGGCGTCGTCACCAAAAAAGACGCGCTGCTGACGACCTGGAGCTCTCATCCGCCACAGTTAACATGACGGAT